CTGGAAATTAAAAGTTCCAAATAAAATCAAGTCTTTCTTCTGGCTTCTATTCCATGACAGGCTCCCCACTGGGTCATTCCTCCACCATATTGGGATCCAATTAGACCCAAAATGCTGCGTCTGCAACCGGGCAATTGAAACATCTGATCACATATTCTTTGAATGGCCCAATGCCAAAAATTTTCGGACAAGGCTTGTTTCTGAAAGTACCAATCCTCTTCCAAGCCATGTATCATCCTTTAATAGTAGGGACTGGCAAAACATATGGGATTTCCTTAAAAAAAAACCTTCAACAGCTTCATCAATTGGGAAGACCTACTTCCTTTCTGCTTCTGACAAATCTAGCTCACAAGAAACAATAATCTATTCAACAAAAGAAAGGATGTGGTAATTTAAAAGCTGCCATGGCAAAAGCAACTGAGTATATTACCATTTCAATAAACAGTGCACCAACAAAAAATAGAACTATTTGGGTCAAATGGACGCCACCCCTAACCAACATGTACAAGCTCAACACTGATGGAGCTGCATTAGGAAATCCCGGTAAGGGAGGAGTGGGAGGTGTCTTCAAAAATGCAAGTGGGAGCTGGATTCTGGGATACATGGGGAGTATACAACATACTACCAACACACAGGCTGAATTGCTCGCTATCTTAAGGGGTCTGTAACTAGAGGAAGAAAGGCATCTTATACCCTTAGAAATCAACACAGACTCCACAGAGGTAATTAGAATGATTACTATGGAAATCTCATTTTTAACACAATCATCTTTGAATGCAGGTCAATCTTCCAAAGGCTAGGAGACGTGGTGGTGAAGCACAACTACAGGGAGACGAACAGAGTAGCTGATCTACTAGCCAAGGAGGGAGCCAAGAACTTTTTTGAAAATATTTTTGTAACAACAGTGCCTCCGGTATTTGCCCCACATGTTTTTGGGCAGATATCACATGAACTGTTTCATCAAGACAAATTCTGGATTGTAATATTGATAACTTTAGTCACAATGAGGGTGGATTGATATACCCCCTCGAAACAATGCTACTGTCAATTGGCACCCTAACGGGTAGTTTATAATGAAATGCAGCATGTTAACCAAAAAAAAATATATTACCTTATAAATGATTCGATTGTGCAAATATTATTTTGAATTGTCGATTCATTGTAAATCCTTTCGATTTTTCCTCTGCCAATTTTGTGTTCCAAATTCCATTTCATATATGCTAGTGTTGTTTGTCGTTATTTTGTTTTATTAAGTGTTTTTTCCCTTTAAACTTCATTGAACACCATTTTGCAAACAGGAGACTAGATTTTGCGTAGGACTGAAAGAGGATAATTTAAGTTCC